CTATATGTTTTGCTAGTGCTTAAATCAAATTTTAATTTAACTTATTCCAATTAATTTAAGTTGAAGTGCATTATCTATTGTCTTTCCTGCGTAATGACTGATTCTACTAACTCTGCAATCGGTGTTTTTATATAATTTTTATATACTAAATTATATAGGAATAGTTGCTTAAATTTGCATTATATAACTAAAGAACAAACATCTCTTCTAATATTTCATCTAACTTTTTAAAAAAATAAAATTCCTTTCCTTCCTAAAATTTACATTTAAAATTTTTAAATTAAAATCTGACTCGGATTCAGGTCTACGGATTTAGCACCAAGATGCGACCTGCTTCATTATTTGCTCCAACTGCGACATTTGAGTCTGCTTGTGGTTCAATACCTTAAGTTAATGCTTCGCGAGTTCTTTCATCTGAGCTCGAGGGCTACCAAGAAATGCAGAGCAAAGTGAAGGAGTTGAAGACTACCGTGCATGATATTAAGTCTATCATGAAGGTTATACTTAAGAGGCTTCCAGATTCAGCTGGCAAATCTTTATCATCACAATAGTTGGCTGATGCACAATTATAATTCTTTTTGTTGTAGTACACATTTCTTATAGTAATTTAGACATAACACTTCTTTTTTTTTTAATTTTTATAAAATTTTGTATTTTCTTAATTTATAACACATTTCAAATGCTTTTAAAACAAAACACATGCTTTTAATATTGATATCAATAACTCAACACAAGAAATACAAATTTATCCAAATCATTATCGACAGAATAATACACATTGCAAATGGAATTAATAAAAAAATCCGATTGGTAATTCTATAGGTAAATCTGCCAGTAAACTACTAACAGATTTGCCAACTCCCAATTTTTATCGATAAATTATTGACAAATTTGTCAACTAACAAATTCCGTCAATACATTATCGATAGATTTGCCGACCATCATTTTTTTCATCAATAATAATATCGACGGATTTCTTATATCATCAATGAAATTTTTGTCTGTAATTAACTTTATCGACGGAATTCATAACTTTATCAATGAATTTTTTCATCAATAAAACCGTTATTTTTGGTAGAAATCCAAAGGGGCTCTTAAATTGTCCTCCATTCTCAAAATTTAAAATCTTGAGTTTGTCCAAACATGAAATTAAAATGGCATAATATCTAAAAAAGCTTAATGCAATGAACACACCAACTGTTTGGAGGTGAACTTTTTATTTGGAAAGTCTTAAATTCGAATAGTAGAGAATGGCGTTGATTGGATGAAAAATCTATGCATCATATTGTGTAACATATATAAATTTAACGACCTACATATGTTTCAAACAAAAAACATTTAATTCAACGCGTGAATTCTAATGCAAAAAGTAAGTTTCTTAATAACGTATTATTAAGAAACTTCCGTAAAAAATAACTAGTTTTTTTTTTGAAAATTTTCACCAAAAAAATAGACTTTGCAAATTTTTTATTATTTTTTTTGTTTTTGTATGGATTTGGAATCTGTCAAAAATATAAAAAAAATTAACGAAATTAATTCCATGATTGGAAAATTAATGGTGTTTCTATGTTCAGAAGTTGATCTTCTTTCTTCAGTATTAGTCAAAGTAATGGAGATTTCCAAATTGAAACTGTAGACGGACGGGTTTGATATCGTAGCAAAGCAATGAGACCATTGCAGGAGGCTTGCTTCTAGTGACAGGTCTTGCTTCCCCTTTATATCAGCCCAATCCCAAGAACGTCACAATTTTTGATAAGGGAAAATGAAATTGATCTAAAAGTAAACCCATTTAGCACTGCATATCTCTCAAAAAAATCAAATGTATATTAAAAAGTAAAAACAATGAGGAAAAAAAATCAAAAGTATTGACAATGAAAAAGAATTTTTATCTATGGCACCAGAACACAAAATTTCTCCCTAAAAGAATCATAAACAGAGAAACTAAAAAATAAACACTCAAAGGTATGGAAAAGTAACTCCTGTTCTCATTTTATGTCATTATAAAAACTACTAGCCTTTTTCTTCTATTCTGACTGTGATTGTTGTTGTAGACATTTACCAAGTGATTGCAAAGCAAAGATTCTGAGTGTACCTACAGCAAAACATCCAAACATTAACTTCATCGGTTTCTTCCAATTGTTGATCTCTGTAAAACTTTTTCCACTGCAGAGTAGCAAGCACATATACCTTGATCTTAGAAGGAATTCTATTCAATATCGGTTTCTTCACTCCTGTTCTCATCTTCTTGCTAACCTTCTTTCTTATATTCTGATCGAGGGTGTCGTTGTAGACATTGTGATTGCTAAGCAAAGCTTGTGAGTCTGCTTATGCCGAAACATCCAGATAATGACTCCATCGCCTTCTTTCAGTTGTTGATCTCCATAAAACTTCTTATACTCCAGAGTAGCAAGCGCATATATCTTTTTCTTAGAAGACCAGAAAATAAATTTCATTTGAGTGGCCTTGCTTCTTGTTCGGGCATTGGAGAAACAACTAATCTCAATTCTTGTGAGCTTGTTTCTTGTGATTCTTGTTCAATCCCCGAATCAGGTATTGGAGGAGGAACAACTGATCTTGCATCTTGTGGACGTGACTCTTGTTCTTGCTCGCATTTGGCTTTCATCCGAACATTAATCTCCATTGTCTCTTGTGAGCTTGTTTCTTGTGATTCTTGTTCAATCCCCGGATCAAGCATTGGCGGAGGAACAACTAATCTTGCTTCTTGTGGACGTGACTTGTTCTTGCACGCATTTCGCTTCCATCCGAACATTAATCTCCACTTTCAACCCTTCCAAAGAAGGAAGTTGCTCCCCGTTTAATCCAACATGGCGTATGGAAACAAGTGCTTCAGCAGCACTATTAACCTTGTCATGGCCTCCCGACTTCAAATCTTTCTCCACTTTTGGCCTTTTAGGGAGCATGGGTTAAAGTAGCAAGGGTTTTCGTATTTGATCGTTATGAGAACGAGAAACTCTGTTTTAGGGTTTTGCCGCTAAACATCTACATATTAAAAACCCACGATAGGGGAATCTGTTTTTGTATATAATATATCAATCACATAAAACGCTGCGTTTCGTGTGGTGTTTGTTTTTCCTTTTTTTTTTTTTTTTAAGTATTTCCACTCTTCACTTGTTAAAACTGGATTAATTAGGGGCTTTGAAGTTTACAGGATTCCTTTTTGTTATTCATGCAGTAATTTGCCAACAATATGTTCACGAGCACTAATGGGTAAATGTTATCCTTGTCAATAAGGAAGAAACATGACATTTGGAAAGTAGGACTACATTACAATTGCATTGAATTTGAAGGATATCACTTTGAAAGCAGATTTCATAAAAGACCATTATTCACTGGCAATACCATGTTCGGGCCGCCAAGAGTAGTCCATTTTCACAAGTTAATAAAAGTGGCATATCTTAACAACTATTGTCTTAACAAATATTATATTTTTGGCAAATGGATACACACGGAGTAACATACGTTCTCTGATGGGAGAATTACAACATGAGACCACATAAAAGGCGAAAGAACAAAAGCATCCTTATGCACATGATCAAAGTGGATCATATAGGTAATTTCCATTCCAAATAAAAAAATCAGGTGCATAAAAGTGTAACAACAATGAAATGCAACCAATGCACTACTTCCTGCTTTTGCAAAGATATGAATTAAGAGTTACCAACCTAAGCCCTTTTTTTAACTGTATAAAGCCAGCTATATAGATCATATTGCACCAACACACTATACTAAAGATCATATTCTTAGTAAGCTTGAAAAAGTGAAGTCTTTTTTCTTATAAGGTCAATCCATGTCCACCAATGGTAACCAATGATTTGAAATAGAAAATGGTATATGAAGGACATGCATTAAATATTTTTTCCTTTCAACACATACCTTTTTGGTCATAGTTGCAGAAAATAAATATGTATGCCTATCACGAGGAATAACATT